CCTCCCTAACAAGTCATACTTACTATATGACTGTATTACATGCACTTTACAAAGAGAAAGTAACTGTTACGTTGCATCATACATAAATCACACAATCTTTTATGGGAACTTATTTCTCATCGTTTTAATAGTCTAGAGTCTGTAGAAGGCTTATCCTGCAAAAACTTGATTCAGAAGAGAAATCTGGTCTATACATGCTCTATGCTGCCCTAAATCATCCCGATTTGAGATTTGCATAAGGGAATTTCTGAAAAGGACAGGTTTAAGATTCTGTAAATGCTTTACTCTAGTAGAGCATTAATAGAGCGTCTCTTGTATTGGGTGTTTGTGCCCAGTCTGGCAGCAGGGAGGCTGCAGGGGTGGCCTTTTTGAGAAGAGGCCAGGGGCTACCCTGTGCCTGTGCAGAGTTCGTGGCACCTCTGGGAAAACATATTTAAGAAACAGCAGAAAATACCAGGCAGAGAGAGGAGGAGGGTTAAAAAAAAAGAGTGAGAAACAGCAGAGGGAACCCCAAGGTCAGAGGAGGAGGTGCTCCATGATGGAGCAGATATTCCCTGCAGCCTGCAGAGGACACAGACTGGAGGAGAAGAAAAGGTGTGAGAAGAAAGGAATGGCAGAGAGAAACCACTATGTCCTAATCATAACCCCTCGACACCCCTTTTGCACTGCTTGCTTCCTCTCCGAAGGGACTTGGATTGAGTGTAACCTGCAGTGACAACAAGGGAGGAGGAGAGGAGTCTGGGAGGAGGGAGAAGGTCAAGTTGAGCCTGGGAAAGCAGGGAGGAAAGCTGTTGTTTTAATGTTTGTCTTTTTTGTTTCCCACTACCCGCATTAGCATCTTTTTAAAAATTATTTTAATTGGCAATAAATTAAGTAAATTTTCCCCCAGTTGACTCTGTTTGCCTACCATGGTAACTGGTAAGCAGTCTCCCTGTCTTTATCTCAACCCATGAACTTTTTCGTTCCTGTTCTTCCTCTTTTCTCTCCCATCCTGCTGGGGAGGGGAGCGAGCAAGCAGCTAGGTGGGATTTTGGCTGCTAGCCTAGGCTAAGCCACCATATCTCTCAACTAAAAACCCCCAAAATAAAGTCCACAAGCAAGGAAATAAAACTGGCTCTCAGTGTTTTGTTGGTTTTATTTAAATGGATGGTTAAAAACATTTCAGACACACAGAGAAATACTCTGCAGAGAAAGAATATAGTCGCATATTTGTCACAGGATATAGTCAAAACACTGTGATTCTCCCTTCCCCAAAGGGATTTGATTAGAGAATCACTCGTAGAAGCTCTCTGAGAAACTGTAAAACATCTGAGAAGGCACAGAATGTATTAACCCCTGTCGCTGTACAGAAAGGAGCTTTGTACATAAGGGAGTTGGAGAAGTGCCAGGGTACAAGTACTCAAATATCAGTGCGTGCTGAAAGAAGCCGAGTCTATGAGCTTTATCTCAACAGAGAGAAAGAGAAAAGGCTTCTGACATTATGAATATGAGCGTGCACAGCAGCGATAAATGACTAAGCTGAATACTGACAGGTTCTGAAAAATACAGAAAGGAGATTCAAGACTTGAAAGTGGTTGTGCAGAAGAACTAGACAAGGTTTCTGGAAATCAAATATAAAGTAAACATTTGATGTATGAGTGCTAGACATTAAACCTGAATTAATTTGGCACAATGACATTACTGGATATACACTGGAGATTTGTTTGAGATAAGAGCATAGTACTTAGAGCAGGAAAGGAAGGAGTAAATCTTTTCAAACTACTTGAATGGGCAGGACACAATAGATGGAAAATTTTAATCTAGGTTACTGAAGCTGCTGGAAAAATTACTAGCAAGCCACACAAGCCACTGACAGAGTTCCATAAAGACAGAGTGAAACCCAAATACAATCTAATTTAAGGACAGAAGAAAAAGGCAGATTTGGGAGTTTAGGAGAAGACATCTACACCTCCCAGCACTACCTAGAGCCTCAGACAGTTGGTAATCAAATAGCAGACAGCACTGCAGAATCAGTCCTCCAAACCACAGATGAAAATAAGAGTGAGAAGCTTTGAAAACATCTGGAATCATTAATATAGATATCTTATATTTCTTAGTGAAGAGCTGGTTTCTATGAGTAGAAGGGTTATGGTGAAATCTTTGTCCCACTGAAATTGAAAGTGAAACTTCTGGGTTTTATTATGTGACCCTGAAGAAAGTATATTAGCTAGGTATTTATAAACAACAAATTTCTATGATAGTGTGCCTTTTGTGCCTTTCAAGAAAATCAGCAGGACACGAGTTATCATAATGCCCAAACTGGACCTCGTATTATTGACAGAGTCCACATGCTTTTTCATACATGCTGACAAGTGTATTGCTGTGCTTTATTAGTTTTGTCCCAAAACATTGATGTTGGATTTTCTGGCCTACTAAATGCCAAATTTGTCCTAATATTCACACTGGAGAATTTTGCCAGACAATTCTCCATATGCAGGAGAATGACTGATGACCTTTGCCTTTCTAAGGCTTGCAAAGACACTCTAGTTTCTTCTTATATAAACATCCTTCTGTAACAAGTGGGGCAGATGTTCACAGAAGGCACCTCCTTACATCAAAACTTGACTCTAATACTTGCAGAAATAGTGAAATAGGCTTTTGCTATTCTTTCAGTCAAGACAAGAGCAGAAGCCACAACCACTGACAATAACAATCTGGACAATGGTTGTTTTCAATTTTTTTGTGTGGAAAGACTGCTCTTGTTTTCAGGTAAGATATTATACCATCTAATAATTTCTTTTGTGCTGTTAACTCCCAAGGTCTTACCAACTTGATCAAGGATATAACACAGCCACAGAATGTATCAGGGTTGCTATTAAATCCATCAAATTTAGCCATATACTAAATTGTTATGAAACCAATTAACTGATGGCCTGAATTCATTTGGTCATACTCAAATCATTTCCTGTCAAACATCTGCAGAGGATCAAGTTGTTCTTCATGGTTTTGCCATAAAATTTTGCTCTTATTTCTTTAATCCATTTCTTTCACAGACTCTTCCTTATTTTTTTTGATCCAATTTCAAATTGAGGTGGAACGGTCTTTATACATTAAACTAGGAAAGTTTTGATACCGTTACTTTTTGTGTATCAGTTCTGAATTCACTTCTACCCCAGCTACGCATTTTTTGCTGATGCTGTTATTTCTGCACAATGTTTTTGCCTGGACTCTCACCCTACTCCCACTGAAGTCATTCAGTTGGAATCTCCACCACTTTGAATAATCATTACACTGCGCAAAGGGAAGAAATATGCGATAGCTAGACAGTAGGAAAAAAGTCTATTACTTTACATTAAAACATAGCTGGGTTGGGAATAGGGCTAAGCAAAATCAAGAATTCATAAAAGTTAGCATAACGTTTTTTCTTTTTGGTCAGTTTTGCTGATCAAGAAGTTTGTGAGTTTTGCCTTTATTTCAAATACATATCCCAGTTTTCTAGTAAAACCTGCTACAGTAAGTGTAAGGCAATAGCTTTTCACAAGTGCTGGATGGAAGTGTATTTTGCTCTGATGCAAACTGCCCCAATAAAACTGAAGAAGTTTAGATGAGTAAAAAGTTGTGTAGAGAGGAGGAAAGCGATTGAGCTAAAGACTTCACAAGTAAACAAGAATCCTAAAAAGGGAGAGACTGCAGATCCAATCTCCTCTTGCCAACTGTATTTTTGCCCCTACTCCATGAAAACGCATAAATCCTCTCCCACAGTCTGGCAGACACTTTCCTCTGTCTGCATTTAATCAACATTTTCCTATTACAGGCCCAGTTTTCCCTCCTTCAACTTTTATCACTTGTCCTTCATTAAGAAAACAAATCACATTTTCCTTCTTTAGTTCTCTCATTTCTTCCAAATAAGTCTTCCTCTAGACATGAAAGAAAGATCACCTATCCACTACTCCATCACGCACTATTTAAGTGTTGTAAATACCAGCTAACGTTTTCCCCAGTACACTCAATGTGATGAATTCAAGGGTGCTTTGTCTTGAGAAATGCTGTATGGAAACAAACTTGCATAGTATTAATAAATACAACATGACACAAGTATGTGTGGTACGAAGAAAAACCCATTGAAGTGAGAAAAATTTGCATGGGCTTCAAGGAGCTTTGGGTGAGGTCTTCGATACTTGCATTAGTAGGAGACAAAGCTAAAAGGGACGGGAGAAATAGGATCCTTGAAACTGTCCAATTTATTCACAGAGAGACTATTTAAGGTCATATCAAGCTATTCTCGTCTGTGCTTGTTCTGTACATCATAAACAACCACTGAAGGGAATAATTACTGTTGGGGTTACTTCATAAAGATGATGCTATTTGAATTTTAGAATAACAGGAAATAGAGTTATATATTAAGCTTGAAATAGATTTTACTGTCCATACTAGACGAGCTTCTCATGACAAGCAATATCACATTTCATCAGAAGATTGGCTCCTTGCAACCGGAAAAAAAGAATTCCTCAAAATATTTTAAATGTTTTCATATATATGACCTACATTAGGACAGAGTTATCAAGTTATTATGTGCCTAATTATACAATAACACCAATTTGACCTTAGGTGGGAATTACTACTGCAAGTCTGTCTTGCAGCCAAGATGATATGAAATTATTGTTATGTATACACACACATGTACACAATTCTTTCACTACTCAAAGTGTACCCAGTGGGGAAGTACAGACAACATGATTTTTTAATGCAGGTTCAAATACTGCTTTTATGCTATTCATGGTATATGAATAAAGTGCTTACTGTATAAAGTGGTAAAGCAAAACACACAACTAAAAGCAGTACCTCTGTTGTAGCAACTCTCCAATATTCCTGAAAATACTGATTTTTCCTTTCTGTTTAAATCTGGTTCCCAGGGTTAAGTTAAAGTACTGACTTAAAGAAAATCTACGCAATGGCCAAGTTAAATAAAAAAGCTGATTATTTTCAGAATATCACACAAGTCATATGTGTTATGATCTGACCTTCTGGAGCTGGTTTACTCGCATTTGTTTTTTCTGGATCCTTCACCTTGGATTTACTTGTTTCTTTTCTTCTCTCTATATCTTTAACTGAAAAGTAAGAGGGGAAAAAATAATCAATCAAACTAGAAAAAGTGCAGTCAGAAGCATGTAATTTTCTTCTTCCAGATAAAGAAGTTGCACACAACATCTTGCGATATGCTTAGGTAACAAGTGACTGTTACTGGGTTTTCCCTCCCTCCCTTTGGATTTATTCTTTTTATGAATCTTTCCTATCATCATTAAAGTTCTCAAAAGTGACTCTCCTCACACAGGAGAGTCCAAACATAGTCCATCTGCACCTAAGCCCACACTGACAAGATCCAGCACTGGAAATATAGTCCAGAAAATTGGCAAAGCTAGCTGGGGAAAGTCCAGCATTGCAGAGTTCCACTCCAAGTCATTCAACACAAAAGCACGTAAGCCAGCTGTTACATTATCCTCTTTAAAGAATCATCTTAGATCCCATGCCCAAATCTGTGTTCAGGGCACCAAATACTCCCATGAGAGCAAAGTTGCTCCAAAACTCAGACTTCAACAGTTTCCTGTCCCACAAATGGGTGGGATACCTCCCTTATTATGTCCCAAATCTCTCATAACAGCCAAGCAGAACCCACCTTGATTAGCAATTCCTAATATTACATTAGTAGCCAGTATCACTCTACTCATAATCTGAAAGATTCTGGCAAAATCATTGCTAAAGTCACATATTAGAAAAAAAAAAAAAATCCTTTCAGAATTTCCTTAGAACGCTAATTGGTGTCAATGCCCCAGCTGTCTACAATGGCCAGGAACAGCTTAAAAGAATGAAACAGAGAATATCTTTCATAGAAAACAAAATTCTATCCCAATTAAAATCTTTAGTTTACGTAGAGCTGGATTATGACCAACATTCATCCAAGCAGGCACTGAGTCTTAGCCAGGATCAGTCTCTCTGTGCTACATTGTTCAAAAAACACTGTGAGAGGGTGAAAGAAGGTTATCTGTCTCTTGAAACATACGATAGAAAATAGACAATGCAAATATTCTGTTTTACAGAAGTGGAAGCAAAGCCAATTTACCCAATAGCATATGGAATATCTGAAACAGCCAAGAGTGCTCTAAGTTCCAATCCAAAATATAATCACAAGACCATCCTAAGGTCTTAGGAAGACAAAAAGCCATTGTCAAACATCTGAGTGTGACCTTCTCAGTGTAATAACCCTCTGCAGAACCTAGAGCCCTCAGACTCCAGGTATAGAGGTAAAAAAACTGGTGAAAAAATAACTGAAGTTTTGAATCCTCTCCTTACTAACACAGCATGTGTACGTGTAGAATCATAGAATCACAGAATCATTAAGGTTGGAAAAGACCTCTAAGATCATCGAGTCCAACCATCAACTCAACACCACCATCATCACCTCTACCTTTAGCGAACGGTTGTGAAACTTATTCAGAAGCAAATTCAGGTCCACAAGCTTGCTGAGGAGTCAGCTTTTACCAAGGTAGATCTTGGTTATTAGCTGGGTTACAGATAAAGCCATGATGACACCAGGTCTTAGAAGTCTGGGTTTAATCCTTACCTAAAAAAGTCTTCAACTAAAATAAAAGAGGTGAAATTACCAGAATAATATTAGTCAAAAAGGATGCCATTGCTTAGCCTTCTAAGAGCATTCCTCTGAGAAAAGGCTAAGAGCAAGCTAAGGAACTGCTCGATGGCCTCCTTTAATGCTAGTGCTGTTCAGCAGAAAGTCTCCAGAGAAACAGTACAAAAGTCTGCAAATGCTCATAGGAGACAAATTGGTCACATCCTGACAGAGATTTCTGGATTTGGGAAAGCCATTTCTAACTGCCAAAATTCTAACCCCATAGGAAAAATAGACAAGAAGACACTAGTTTTACTCAAATATTTACACAGACAAAAATCTTATCTAGTGAATGTTTTTACAGCTGCATTTTAAAAGGAAAAAATTCCCCAGTGATCTTTGCTAATTGCATACTATGTACAATAACTTACAAGCAGCACTAGAATAAGAAAATACACCTGGCTATATAAAGAGGAATACTGTTTTAACAATAGAATTTTATTGTAGGCTTAAGAATTCTTTGTACATCAGTTACAACTTAGCAGCATTAAAAACATATTTCCAATGCACTAAACCAAAGGATATTTTTAAAGCTTTGTATATGTTTGACCTTTTTTCATCTTAAGAATTAGTGACCGCTTGTCAGAGAAGGGGAAAAAACCATAGAATACAGGATAGCAAAAAAGAAGGATTAGTATACATGCTGTATCTGGTTTTACTCATGCAAGGCATCATATTGTCAAATGAAACTCCAGCCTCATTAAGTACTACATGTTTTCACCTGCAGCAAAGAAAGAATATACTAAATAGAACATAACCCCCATATTCTTAATTCAAGTTGCCAGCTCTACTTTTCCTGAAGAATAGAGGTAGTTTAAAAAACAGCCACACCTAATATTATAGAAGTTGGTGTAGCTTTCTGTGGGCTGCTCTTTAATGCTAAAGTAATCTGTGGTTTTGTGGCTTTCCTAACCGGGATAGAACTTAAAGTAGTAAACACACCATTGCAGTGATGGAAAGCTAGAAAGACTTTGACACACACCACATCAAGCAGTCAAGCATATTTTATCTTGTGCTGGTTCTAAGAGAAAGGTGGTTTAGCAATGACAGTGAGAAATATCCAGTGTCAAGGGAATTCAGTAGGCTTTCAAACTGCACTTTTTGTCTTTGTCGACCAAATCTCCACTGATCATATTTAACTGAACTGTTCAAGATGCAGATCAAGACAAATCATCTAAGACATATATATCACTATGATATAAACATTAAGAGTATGTGTAGGTCAGATAAAAAAGTCTTAACCATAATTTGTAAACATATTTGACAGCTGAAGACCAGTAAGAATTTAGCCTTTCATAGTATCATTGAACTAGCAACTAGTTGCCAATTGGCACAGCTGTAAGAATGTTTTATTAAAAAAGTTGGACAAAGGGAAGGAAATTTTTTAAGTATCAGAATATAGCACTTCCCTTCTTGTTTCCGCTCACTGAAGATTCTTTTCCATGAGATACTGGCTAATTTCATAACTGAATGGGGAAGAAAGGGATTCCAAACCCATGGAAACAAAGATATCTCAAAGCAAGAATCTCCTATGCAAGAGCGACTGGATCAGTTCAGGCCTCCAGCTGTATATGTACCAGTTAAAATCTGTGGCTCTGATCAGCCTTTCACCACAGAAGAAACTGTTTTTCGACTGTCCCTCTTTCTGTCAGACTTCGTTACAATTTCATCAGTTATGTTAAATATCTGATAAATTCTGCATGTCAGGCATAAAAAGACACATACTTCTGAACTGGCCTTGTGCTGGCTTACTCTCCTTGTCTTCACTGAATGCAATGATCTGCAGGGCATAGTTTTGATCTGGAATAAGACCTTGAATAATTGCTTTGGTTGCAGTGTTTTGAAGAATTAGTTGATTGGTTTTTCCACCTGTAAGAGAAAAGACAAAAAAAACCACAAATACGTAACTTTCTTTGCTTTTCTTATAGCACAGTAAATGTAATGACTTAAAACTACCTCAAGCTCTACAATGACCCAAGTGTTCCCATTTTTGGGACTATCCATACAGCCAGGAGCCCAGAAAGCAAGAAGTCAGGCAGCCTGACCAAAGACACGGACCAGTTCTCTTAGATAGAAACACTCTAAGACCAATCAATCAGCGTTTGTATCTGGTCCTCGTGGAATAGCCACAGTGTCCAGCAAAACTACTAAGAAAAAAAGAAACATTTGACAAAAATCTGTCAGGTTTGGTAGCATCATGCTCACAGGCTTTCACAATGCTTTGCGATTGGCTGCCAGTTCTGACCCCATCGTACTCATGTCATTTCTGAATACCCTCTTTGCCCACTTCCTTTGGGCAAGGAAATTCTTATGTATAAATACAAATATTAAACATTTCTATGTATTCATATACATATATATAAAGATTGTATACAAATATGTATTTTAGCTGTACGTTAAAAGTGTATCTATATCTGACTTTAAATACGTACAGAAGTAGTACCTCTACACGGGTAGCCTGATATAGCCACTTTGTTGCCTATCTTTACATTTCAAGTTTTCATTCAAAAAAAACTTTAAAAGGTTTGTGGTTTTTGTTTTTTGGGGGGTTTTTTGGTGGGGTTTTTTTTGTTTTGGTTTGGTTTGGGGTTTTTTAAGTTTGGTCTAAAACCTTTTTGGTCTTTTCTGTGGAGCTCACTATGGGACAAGGCCCAGGGAGATCTACCTCAAAGCTTTGACTGAAATAGGGTTCCTATGCTCTCCCTTGAACACTTCCTAGACTTCCTTATACCCCACTGGAAGAAAGGTAAAGACAGATGATCAGTGACAATTCCCAAGGACTACATATGAAGCATAACTAGCATCCACCCACTTCTACTACCTTAAGCATTCAATTCCCATATTCTGTGCCCATAACCACCCTCTGGCGAGATCAATTTCTCTCTTCTGTTGACCAAGCCAATACTCCATTATCCACAGCTTGCTCACAGTTCCTTAGTCCCGAAGGATGACACTAGCCTCTGAAAAGCCTCTGAAAAGTTCAACCTTAGGAAGACAGTCCTTTCACCTTAAAAGAGAACATACAGACTTTTGTTTTACCTGAACTTGGAGTGACAAGAAGCTTATATCCAGTGAATTGCCCTTTGGGGGCTTTCCAAGAGATCTGTACACTGTCAGGACTGACTACATTATATCTTAGTCTTGTTGGTGGGGACACTGCAAGTGGGGGAAGAAAACAACATTTTAAATTCAAATAAAAAGCAACGGCCAATTTTAAACAAACATAAAAATAAACACATATAAGAAGACAACACAAAATTTTAATGATAAAGGATGCAAGTTATTCAAGATGTCACATACATCAGTTTATTAGTTTGTAAAATGACATCCCCAGGTGCACTACTTCCCTCAGACATACCTTTTATTTATCTCTTTATAAAAACAAACTAACAACCTAACAGCAGAGAACAGAAAGACAAACAGTGTTAGATGTTAAGACTCTAGTTTAGCAGGCAAAGCTGGTAATAAAAATGCTCTTTGTTAATATATGGAAATGAAAATTGCTCTCCTTGCTTACACTGAAAATATGCATTACCTAGCCTCCTTTACCTCGCATTACCGTGGGGATTTCCCCACACTTACAGTAACTCAGGGCCAAATTTTCAAAGCCTTGTGAAAACACAATAACCAAGAGGAAAGATAGGCATGCACAAGGCAGAGGGAACACCAGCTGCCCAATTTCCAAACCCGGCCTAAGCAGCACACAGACTTGCCCAGCTGCAAGCACTGCTTCGGTCTTATCAAGACTAGCAGGCATGCACAGGCTAGTCAAGAATTAAACAGGGGCAATCTGGATGGTCAGCTAATCTGGCTTCTATTTATATTGTGCCATCACCTAGGTTTCAAATAGAAGCAGCAGGTGAAATGAATAAATGCATGAAGTGATTGAGAAAGAGGTGATATTTCAGTGAAGCAACACACAGAGGAACAAATGGAAAATCCACCCTATGTTGTTACTGCAATATCTGCAACTTTGTGTCTATGCACATAAACCAGTTTTTCACAGCTTTGCATCCCCCTGCTCAGGCAAGCTCCACTGATGCTGGACAACACCCTACAGAGCATTTCTGCTCTGCTTCAGGGAGCCACATACTTCCTTCACAGCCAACAACTGAAGCAGAGCTGCTAGTTGTGCAGCCTATGGTACCCAGGACTGTCAATAAGGGGAAATGAACCCCCCATAATCCAAGAGGAAGC